GACACCAGGTTATAGTCCAACAGGTTTATTTGAAAACACAAGCTTTTCCGAAGAAGGACTGAGGCTCCAAAAGCTTGTGTTTTCAAATAAACCTGTTGGACTATAACCTGGTGTCATGTGACTTCCTACAGTATGAGGAAGTACAAGGCCATCCACTGTGAACCTAGGACAGACTGAGGAGTATTTCAGGGAGAGAGAATTAGGGGTTGATGTACAAACATCTTTGAAAACTGTTGGACAGATACAAATAAAAAAAGAAGGGCTAAAGTAACCTTTACCTCACGTTAGAGTTGTCTAAAGCTCAGGGTCAGCTGCACTTTGAATGATGTCCTCAGTCTGGGCACCATATTGCAGGAAGGATAGTTTGGTCTTGTGGGAGGGCAGTGTAGATTCTGGCTGAAAAGGGCTGAAAGGGTTAAATTCTGAGACTAGTAGTAATGAGGGAGAAAGTTTCTGTGTTTGACATTGATATTGTGTGAAGTCAATAACAAATTCGAGGGTTGGATTTTACAGGCCCTGCTGGTGTATTCGAAAACTGGGGGATGAGTGTGGGGGCTGTATGCAGGAAGCCTGTAAAATAAAACAGGCACCCTCCCCAACCTGTCTCCCACATAATGCTGGGTGGGGAAGCATCAGACCATTCAGTTGTCTGCCGGGGGGTGGGGAGGAGTCCGGACTAGTCATTTATGGCTGCTTGCCACATAATATTGCAATGGGGGACCACCAGGTTATGGTTTGCAAGGGCTGACTTTCTGAATACTTGCTCTCACCTCTCCACCCTTCCCCTGTAAAATTCACACAGCTATATGTGGAAATCCAGATGTTGTTATCAGCGATTCTGCCCTTTCCCGCACAATCAAACCATAAGACACAGGAACAGATGGAGGCCATTTGGTCCATCGAGTTCACTCTGCCATTCAATGGGATTATGACTGATAAAAACCCAATCCCTTGGACATGCTGCTGAAGACCACACCTCCACCCTCCCCACCATAACCTAAGAATGAGTATCAATCACTGAACCGTGGAGAGGTTCCCCTTATACTCTTGCTTTAACAACCTTTGAACCAGCTACATTTGTATTACAGGGATACATGCTACAGTTTACATACAAATTGCTTAGCTTTGACGCCAGAGATGAAAGTGCCTGTGAATGTAGCATATATAGATACCAGGAGCTGTGATAAAAATCCATTGAATCCTTCAATACTCCACTACCCATGTCCTTTCCATATGTTACTCGAGCTAGCATAATTATCAGCTCATTAGGTATGAATATCATTTACATTAGGTCAGAGGGCAAAACTGATCTGATTAACAGTGTTGAGACTAGACCCTTCATCAGAAAAGGGGGAGGGGAAGGGGGTTCTGAAATAAATAGGGAGAGAGTGGGGGGCGGATAGAAGATGGATAGAGGAGAGGAAACAAACAGGTCGAAGGGGCGGGGATGGAGCCAGTAAAGGTGAGTGTAGGTGGGGAGTTAGGGAGGGGATAGGTCAGTCCAGGGAGGACGGACAGGTCAAGGGGGCGGGATGAGGTTAGTTGGTAGGAGATGGGGGTGCGGCTTGAGGTGGGAGGAGGGGATAGGTGGGAGGAAGAACAGGTTAGGGAGGTGGGGACGAGCTGGACTGGTTTTGGGATGCGGTAGGGGGAGGGGAGATTTTGAAGCTTGTGAAATCCACATTGATACCATTGATACGCTTTGCAGAACACCTACGCTCGGTTCGTAATAAACAACTGCACCTCCCAGTCACGAACCATTTCAACTCCCCCTCCCATTCCTCAGACGACATGTCCATCCTGGGCCTCCTGCAGTGCCACAACGATGCCACCCGAAGGTTGCAGGAACAGCAACTCATCTTCCGCTTGGGAACCCTGCAGCCCAATGGTATCAATGTGGATTTCACAAGCTTCAAAATCTCCCCTCCCCCTACCGCATCCCAAAACCAGTCCAGCTCGTCCCTGCCTCCCTAACCTGTTCTTCCTCCCACCTATCCCCTCCTCCCACCTCAAGCCGCACCTCCATCTCCTACCACTAACCTTATCCCGCCCCCTTGACCTGTCCGTCCTCCCTGGACTGACCTATCCCCTCCCTAACTCCCCACCTACATTCACCTTTACTGGCTCCATCCCCGCCTCTTCGACCTGTTTGTTTCCTCTCCACCTATCCTCTCCTCTATCCATCTTCTATCCGCCCCCCACTCTCTCCCTATTTATTTCAGAACCCCCTTCCCCTCCCCCTTTTCTGATGAAGGGTCTAGGCCCAAAACGTCAGCCTTTCTGCTCCTATGATGCTGCTTGGCCTGCTGTGTTCATCCAGCCCTGCACCTTGTTGTCTCGGATTCTCCAGCATCTGCAGTTCCTACTATCTCTGATTAACAGTGTTGGCTGTTTATAAAGAAATGGCTCCCACATCCCAGGTACCACATCATATCACATCAATACCTTGTTTAACATGCTTTTAAATTCATAATTACTGCACTATTCAACAGCTTCACTGGCCTTGCAAAATTAATTTGGTATCTGTGGAACAACAATTCATTTTTTTCAGCTCTTTTTTTACAAAACTTTCTTGATGGTACTTTCCATCTTTGTCCCATGTGCATACCACAATCATTTATTTCACTCGCTGTACAATTTTAATTAAAAAGTGAAAAATGCAGTGGATTTTAACATCCTGGCTTGTTCTTGTCAGAATAATTTGATGTAATTGGCTGTTTCTGCTTTTCAATGACATCACTGATACCTGAAGAGCCCACTGACATGAGGCCCAGTTCAGGAAAGGGAAAATCCACAACATCAGTAGATCAGTAGATCTTTGTAGTTAATTTACTTTGAGGTGAAAATTAGGGCTATTATTTTAACCATCGTGAAGGAACAGCGCATATGAGCTACCCCTGTACTTGTGGTAAATGAACATTCTACTAAGCAGCTGTCAAAGATCACTGGACCCACGTTGATCATTTGGATTATCATTCAAATAAAGTACTGGTTTACTGTGGAATATGCGCTGGTGAAATCATTCTGCTAACAAATGTTTTCAAAGGCTCTTAATTATTGTATCACAACAACAGCTATACTGTTAATGTGGGATTTCCAAAGGAGCAGTGTGTGGACATCCGACATTAGTCAAAGAAAGCAGCAATATGAGCATCTGCACTAAAGCGTTGAAAAGCACTGGAAAGGTGGTAAAGGATTTTAAGAATTGACAGCTGCTTAGCAAAAACAATTTTGAAAAGTGCACTTAAAAGAAGCACAGCTATCATCTTGTTCAATGGAAAACCTTTGCAAAGATTTCAATGGCGTACAATACCAGCTCACTGATAGCGGTGTGCTTGAGAAAAATAATGAAACCAAAGAACTGAATATGTTCCAGTTATTCAGAGTGAATGTTAAAAACTCATAGCTATCCATTATCGTCATTATTGTTGATGCAGTAACAGTAAAGGGCTGAGACAGGATTGGCTATTTGTGTATCTTTGACTAGAGTTACACTGTCACAATTACAGCTCAAAGGAGCTCTTTCCAGCAGTCTCTGGTCTCAGATTCAGAGTGTAAAGAAAGAAAAGAGTTAAAATTTAGACAGCGTATTTTTTTCATTTTTCTGATATATGTCACAATGTGAATGAATTGTTTTTACAGCAGTGACAACTGGTATGCATCCAATCAAGGCAGTCATTTTGTGCACAGTAACATCCCTTAAATGGCAATGAGGCAATTGCCTGGATTAATCGTTTTTGATGGGATTCGATGAGGGAGGAGTACTGACCAGGACACGGGTTCCCTACTACCAGCGCAAATAGATGGGGCTTTGGTTCATCCAAACCCAGCACCCCCAACAACACAGCACTCCCTCAGTACTGAGCTAGGATGTCAAAACTGTCTATATGCTTCAGTCATTGAGCGAGTGTGAACTTCAGCAGAGTTTAACTACAACCTAAAATAAAACCTGAAAACTAGAATGTTTCCTGTCCGTTTCCTGTCTACACCCATTCAATCCTACGCTAATAGCAAAAGAGTATTTCACTATATTATCCTCGTAAGCAAACAGCATTTGACCCAGAGATTATGGTGTATTTATGACTCAAAGTGCACAAACCACATCTTACATCACAGATGATTAATATTTTTGCAATGAGAACAAAGACTGCAATACAAACAATTGAAGGCACTAAAATACATTGACCTGCAATTGCATTGTACTTTGTCTGAGCTTCATAAACACCATGATACAATACGCCATTGCCTCACCACTTTTCTTTATTCTGTCACAGGATGTGAGTGTCATTGGCTGGGTCAGCATTTGTCGCCCAATCCTAGTTGCCCTGAAGAAGGTGGTGTTTTGAACCACTGTAGCC